GTGGTTTCTACTTTTCACCTGTCTCAGGAGATTTATCTACCGGTGTTTTTCCCTAAACCAGGAGCGTGTTCTACACTCCCTAGACGCCAAGGGAGCGCTGGCATTCTATGTTGACCGAACCAAGCCCTTCCGTAAATCCCAACAATTGTTCGTTGCGTTTGGGGATAGGAGGAAAGGTTCACCTATTTCTACGCAAAGGTTATCAAGATGGGTGGTGCAATGTATAGCAGAGTGTTATCAACTGGCTGGGAAAACAACCCCACCCAGGGTGAAGGCACACTCTACCAGGGCGCAGGCGTCCTCGGTAGCCTTTGGTGCCCAGGTACCTATCACAGAAATTTGCAGGGCAGCCACCTGGTCTTCCCTTCACACGTTTGCAACACACTATGCGCTACCTCAACAGGCCAGGGAGGATGCAAGGGTGGGCTCTGCAGTCCTCGAATCTGTGATGTAAATATATGTATCCGGTTGTCTTTGTTCTGGGTTGGTGACTTGTCACTGTGTAATTGTTCAATAAATCGGTTATTGTTCACCTTCCTTTATGACTCTGGTGCTATGACTGTTCCGATCCCTCCTCCATGGGGTTAGCTTGGTAGTCACCTACTTTGAATGGACATGAGCAACCACTCGAGGAAGAAAAGAACGGTTACTTACCTGTAACTGTTGTTCTTCTTCGGGTAGTCCCCGTGGGTGCTCCACGTCTGGTGTCGAGCTGGTCCCGGTGCCGCAAATCGGAGCTTTCCAGAGCTGTATTCAGCCGGACCGCGCGCACGAGCCGGTTTCGCGCCTTTCATCTGCCGCGTGCGGTCCGGCACCCGCCAGTTTCGTCTCATCCGCCTTGGGTCGCACATGGAGCTCCCCCTGTCTCCTCAGGCAGCTACCTGAGGGGAAGTTTAGAACCATTTAATTAGTATTTCTTTGCTTATCCCGTTTCTTGTTTAGCCCTTAGTCGCGGGCTCTTCAAAAAAAAAAAATAGAGAGAACCTGAAACATCTAACAGACGGAGGGAAGACAGACGTTTCCTCTCAGTTTGAGTTTACACTGTTTTGTTTCATTACTGTTGCGGTTTAACTTAGTAGTTTAAAAAAAAACCCGGCAGATTCAAGCGGCAGCACATAGGAGCCGCGAACGCACACTCCTCTGCGGTGCTAAAATGCCAGGCTCCCCTGGGTTTAAAAAATGTTCTACGTGCGGGGAGCCAATGCCGGTCTCTGACGGGCACTCTGCTTGTGTCCACTGCCTGGGGGAGGCTCATATCCCCCAAAAGTTCACACACTGTGCCAGCCTGACGACGAGAGCCCGCGAGGAGCGGGAGCGACGTCCGAAAGAGATCCTCTTCAATAAGGCTCTCATGCCTGCAAATGTAACAGGCTCGTCTGCCTCGGACCCCACGCCAGAAAAACGGAGAGCTCCTTCCCCAGCTGTGCCGTCCCCTGAAAGGAAGAGAGCTTCTCCTGCTCGTTCCCTGCCAATGGCTCCACAATCGCAGGTCAGAGCAGGTGATAAGCCGGGCACCTCGGGCTCCAGATTGACCCGTGCACCTACTTCAAAAAAGCCGGCCGGCTCCTCCCGGTGCCGACAGCCCTCGGCACCGATGCTTTCAGCAGAGCCTCTTAAAGGGCCAGTTACAACAGCACCGAGGACTTCCGCATCCGCCTGGGGGATCCCTGTAGTCACTCCTCCTCACAAGGAGCTGTCCGCAGCACCGGCACCAGAGGAGCATGCTGCTGCCCAGGTGCCTCCTTCATTGCAGCCAGCAGATCACTCTGCATGCTCAGAGCAGCGTTCAGCAGCACCTATATCGAATATCCAGGAGGTCTCTCTTTCTCCCTCCCCGGTTTTTTCTCCTGAACTGTTCCCTCACCCTTCTACGTCCACATGCCATACAAGGGCTCAGAAGGAATACCATGGACGAAGCATGTCATCTTGCCGTCATTATTATAGGGACCGCAGCCGCTCACTCCACAGATGCTCTAGATCTCGTTCTCCGTCAAGACGTTCGCACTCACCGATCCGTTCACCGCGGGGCGCTTATTATGACAAGCATAGCAGTGTTAGGTCTCCCAGATGGCCATCACCTGCAGGCTCTGACCGACGTTATTTGCACTATCATGGACCTTACTACGCTGAGTCATCTCATCACAGGCACTCTCGATCTCACCACAGATCACCTTGCTCCTGTCAGTCTTTTAGCCCACGCTCCGTACATTCCAAGCTTCGGAAGCAGTCTCCGCTCCGGGATATGCTACCTCCACGTTCTCCGCTCCCTAGATCTCAAATATCAGACCTTGAGGAAGGGCAACTCTCAGAAACTGACCCAGACTTTTCTCCTGGTGCCTGCTCATCTGTGCCGGCCAGAGATGAACCGGTAACTCTGGTGGAGATGACACCTCCCGACAACCTGAAGGAATTTCAAGATCTCTTTAAACGAGTCGTGCAATCTCAGGAGGTTTCACCTGGTCCTCGATAAGTTGTACAACATAAGCTGTTCAAGAACTTACACCCTAAACAGCAGCTAAGGATTGCCCTCCCAATAGATGATGCTATTTTGGAGGTAGCAGAAGAAATCTGGCAAACCCCAACATCAATACCGCCTACCAACAAAAAAGCAGATAAAGTATTTCGTTCCGTCCAAGGGTTTAGACTTCCTTTTCAATCACCCACAGCCTAATTCATTGATAGTAGACGTGGTTCGCCCCAAGAGTAAGATGCCCCACTTCAAGAATGCCCTACCAGATAGGGATACTAAGAAATTAGACCTTTTTGGGGCGTATGGTTTATTCTTCCTCAACCTTGCTCCTCCGAATTGCCAACTATGCTGCCCTGTTGTCAAGTCATAATTTTGACAATTATTCCAAGCTTCCGGATCATATGCAGCACCTTCCCGAGAACAAGAGACTTCTTCTTAGGGCAGTCGTCCAAGAGGGGTTCACGGCATGCAGAACATCGCTTCAAATCGCTGCTGATGTTGCGGATACAGCCGCACGGGCCATGGCAACAGGTATTGCGATGCGTAGAGCCTCCTGGCTACTGTCGGCGGGAGCCCCTAAGGAGTTGCAGTCTAAAGTGGAAGATTTGCCCTTTAACCGCCAAAAGCTGTTTGCCTCCAGTACAGATGACATTCTTCATTCTGGCAAGGACTCTCGTACTACCCTCCGAACTCTAGGGATGTACAAGCCGCCTTTCAAATGCAGGTGGTATTACCCCTTTCAGAGGAGATATGATTATTCATCCTACAAGCAGCAACAGCAATACGGACCTGACCGATTTAGGTTTAAGCAGCGTCCTCAACGCAAACTCCAGCAACAGAATCGCCCATCAGCTCGTCCTGTTCAGAAACAGCAGGTTTGACTTCTGTGCGAAGGACTCGAACACGTCTCCAGTGGTCAACACACAAAAGCCTGCCGACGGCCTCTTCTATCACCGTCTGAGGCCATATCTTCACCAATGGGCCACCATTACTTTGGACCGATGGGTCCTAGAGGTCATATCATCAGGCCTAACGATCCCCTTCACCTCAGTTCCTCCCACTACCCCTCCCACCCCGTCTCTGCTCAGGGACCCATCTCACGGGGTCGCTCTTCAAGGATAAGCTCTTCATCTCCTAGAGATCGGAGCCATAGAACGAGTACCTGCAGAGTTCCGGGGGAAAGGTTTCTACTCCAGGTATTTCCTAGTTCCCAAGAAGTCCGGGGGGTGGAGACCTATCCTTGATCTGAGAGGCCTAAATCGTTTCATACGGAAGCAGCGCTTCAAAATGACCACGCTGGCCAAGATCATACCAACACTAAACAGAGGAGACTGGTTCGCAGTCCTAGATTTACAAGACGTGTATTTTCATGTGACAATACACATAGCTCACAGACGATTTCTGCGATTCGTAGTGGGGGACGACCACTTTCAGTACAGGGTACTTCCGTTTGGTCTTGTCTCAGCCCCAAGAGTATTCTCCAAAACGCTGGCGGTAGTGGTTGCTCATCTGCGCAGAACAGGGGTCTGAATTTTCCCCTATCTCGACGACTGCCTCATCAAGGGCCGCACTCAGTCGGAGACTCATCACAAGGTAGCTGCAAAAGAGTTCGCCTGCCAGCCGAGCACTTTTAAATCATACAAGACTTGATAAGAATGGTCTTGCAGTCTCCGATGCTCCCAGTGCACGTATGCCTACAGCTCTTTGGTCATATGGCGGCAACTACAATCATTGTGCACCACGCAAGGTTACATCTGCGGTGCCTGCAACACTGGTTGAGCACAGTATACAATCCTGCCGAGCACAGTATACAATCCTGCCAAGTACAGCATCTGCAAAACCGTAGCGCTACCCGTACGTGTCGAGGACTCCTTGCATTGGTGGACCAACCCCAACAACATGCTGTCAGGAGTCCCCTGACGGCTGTGGGGAGATTACCACAGATGCTTCTCTCATCGGCTGGGGCACCCACATAGGCGTAGAAACAGTCCAAGGCCGTTGGTCCACGACGGAGATGATGCTCCATATCAACCTTCTCGAACTCCGAGCGGTGTTTTGGGCCTGCAGACACTTCAAGTTGCACATAAGGGGCACTGTCACCAGGATTCTCACCAACAACTTAGTGGCGATGTATTATGTGAACAGGCAGGGAGGCGCCCGCTCTCGCTCCCTTTGTGCAGAAGCGATCCGCCTTTGGACGTGGTGCATTCGAAATGACATTTTTATAGTCGCCTCATACTTACCCGGTGTGAACAATACCATTGCGGAAGTGGGTAATTCGCACGGACGTTCTCTTACCTCTTTTCCATCGGTGGGGTCGTCCGGCGATAGATCTGTTCGCCACACGTACCAATGTGAAATGCAGAGCTTACTGCTCCAGAGCGGGAGTGGGAGATGCATTTCTCCTCCACTGGGGGACATCACTTCTGTATGCATTTCCCCTTGTTGTGCTCATTCCCAGAGTATTCGAAGATCGTGATGGACAAGGCACGAGTGATACTCATAGCCCCAGCGTGGCCCAGACAGCCATGGTACTCAACTCTCCTACAGTTTTCTGTCCGAGCACCGTACCGATTTCCTTACCTGCCAGACTTGCTGACACAACAGAAAGGCTCCCTTATTCATCCAAAGCTGGACACTCTGCACCTAACAGCGTGGATGATAGATGGTTCAGCACATCCGAGAATCTTTACTCAGACCAGGTGAAGCGCGTCCTGCTACACAGCAGAAAGGACTCCACCAGAAAAACCTACCTGTCCAAGTGGTCCAGATTCGCTCGATGGTGCGCTCCTAAGCACCTAGATCCCGTTATTTCACCACTACATATTTTACTGGACTATGTACTCCATCTGCAGGCGACTGGACTCTCCATGTCATCACTTAAAGTCCATGTGGCAGCGATTACTGCTTTTCACTACCCCGTCGAAGGCTGGTCGGTTTTCTCCCATCCCATGATGACTAGATTTCTTAAAGGCCTGGCTAACCTTAACCCACTACGTAGGCCTCCGCCACCTACATGGAGTCTTGACCTGGTTCTGGATGTCCTAACTAGGCCACCGTTTGAACCACTGGCTATGGTACCTATGCCAATGCTTACAATGAAAGTACTCTTTCTCCTTGCGGTAACATTGGCACGTAGGGTGAGCGAGTTAGGGGGGCGTAGACATCAATGCAGCTCAGAGCTTCACTCCACAAAGAACAGTAGTATACAGCACTCAGACTTTGGATGCCCCCAGACTTCCAGGGATATACATGATGCACCTCATCATGTGCTGCAGATATGTGCCATCCTTTATAGCAGAGGTCCCCAAACTGTGAGTTGTGCCTCCCGCACTGGAGACATGGATGCCCAGCCCAGCCCCTAGGGAGCAAGGGGAAGAAGCTCTCCCCAGCCCCTCCCTGCACCCTGCTCTGCTCCAGTCCCACCTCCAGCAGAATCCTTGGCTCTGGTGCCAGCCTCAGTCTTGGTCTCAGTGAGGCTCTGGCTACTAGCTACAATCGCACCCTAGGGCTCATTCGACACAAGCAGTGGCCTTACGTGACTTTTGCCGGGCAGCGACTTGGTCTTCTAGCACCACCTTTTCAAAGCATTACGCAATCATGCAGCATCTCTCCTCCGATTCGGTGGTAGCTCTAGCAGTACTGCCTGGTCATCAGAATCGTGATTCCGAAGCCCATGTCTAATTGGGATTACTGCTTTGGAGTCACCAGACGTGGAGCACCCACGGGGACTACCCGAAGAAGAAGTTACTCACCTTCGTGCAGTAACGATGGTTCTTTGAGGTGTGTCCCCGTGGGTGCTCCACGACCCGCCCTCCTCCCCGCTTCGGAATCTCGTCTTTTCTGTCTTGCAGATAGGCGGTGAGAGGAACTGCCGGGCGCCGGACCGCACGCGGCAGATGAAAGGCGCGAAACCGGCTCATGCGTGCAGTCCGGCTGAATACAGCTCTGGAAAGCTCCGATTTGCGGCGCCGGGACCAGCCGGACACCAGACGCGGAGCACTCACGGGGACACACCTCGAAGAACCATCGTTACTGCACGAAGGTGAGTAACTTCTTCATCTCTATTAGTTCACAGAATATGCTGCAGAGTATCTTAGTGGTTTTTTTTTTTCAGAACTGTTATTGTCATTGACAATGTAATATTTATGTATGGACATTGACCACCAACACGATTCCTAACAGACTAGAAAACAGTAGGGCACAGTATCAAATTACATTACTATGCCTCCCTATTAAAGAGCTCTATATATCTCTGCATTGAACTGTCTTAATAGCTGGTGGGTCTGGCTAATCAAACTCAGCAGACAGCTGTTCCATCTTCACATCAGTAGCAACTTTTTTCCTCCTTTCCTTCAGATACTATGCAGGATACAGCAGGCAGCTATAAATAACCATTGGGATATTTTTCTCACATTCAGTCTTGCAAGTAAACAACATCAGCATCACTTTGGTCTACTATAAGCATATTCAGCTATACACTCTGCATCTGCTAAGCTTGTGGTTGAATCTTTCCTTGGTGCTATCAGGATGTCCAGTGTGTAGATTCATGAGCCAGGTGAGTAAGGTCAGCTGGATTCTCAAGGATCACTTGGCATTTCATTATTCCCAGTGGTAATCTCCTCAGTCAGGAAAAAGTTCTTTCTTGTAGCTTTCTGAAAAGTCGTGTATTTTAAAGACAAGAGAATCATCCACCTTCCCTGACTAGCCCATGCTGATGTCAGTGAAGCATCTCCAGTGATCTCTAAGTGTTTGTGTATGCTATGGGTTGGCGACATTTCAGAAGTGGTGTGCTGAGATTTAACTTATTCACTTCTAATTACGGATCTACATGCCAGGGAGAAGAGGCAGGCTGGGTATGGTGACAATATTGTCTCAACTGCAGCTAGGGAAAATGGTTTAATTAAAATTATTAAACAGACTAAGCATTTTAACTTTCTCATGTTAGTTTATCAAACTTATGTCCAATGCAAAATGTGCCAGTGTTTTCTTTCTTTATGACTAGGGTGGGGAAGCCACTGACCCACAGAAAAATCAGTTGGGAACCACACAAGTGAGAATCAGGAAAACCCACAATCTTCACTCATGTGGACCACAACTGAGACACCTCATTCCTCTCACGTGCCAGCTAACCTGTGGACTATCCAATAAACATCTGCTTATCAGATAGTTGACCGGTCATTCATATCCCTGGGAAGGACTGAAGTTCAGGGTTTCCCATAGGCCAGATTTACTTTTCTTGGGTTTCAGAGTTAGTGAATTGTATTGACTCCCTTCGGCTCTGAGGTATGCACAGAAATGAGGGGATTGGCATAGGGAAGTAAAAGTGTAGATTAACTGATAAGCAAAAGCTTGTAGGTTAATGCTATAGACTACACACATTTCTCTCCCCTCACCCCCATTGCCAGTACATTTTTAGCTGGCTGGCCAGCAGCCCAACTCAATTCTGGCTCACGTCGGGTCCAGGAGCTCAGACCACCACCTAGACAGGAGCTGCTGTACCCTGTGCCGCTGCCTCTTTATCAGAAGCAACAACATAGGTCCACAAGGGGACCAGCTCCTACCTGGCACCCTGTGCTGCTGTCTTTGATACAGTGGCAGCAGCACAAAGTGGCAGGGGTCTTCTTGGGAATGACTTATCTAACCAATAAGAATTCATGAGGTTACTCGACTATTCAATTAACCGATATTTAACATCCCTAGTTCAGTGTGTGTGAGACAGGGCTGCCAGAAAGTGGGATAGGGATGGGGTACAGGATCTGGGAGGGAGGTGGGTTGCAAGAGGAGGTGAGGGTATAAGGTCTGGGTAGGAGGTAGGGTGCAGAAGCAGGCTGGAAATAGGGTGTCTGTCCAGGGGAAGTGAGCAGGAGCAAGGGAAGATACAGGAGCAACCGTGGATGCAGGAACAGAGTGGGGTTAGGCTGTCTGGCCAGGAGGGAGGGGTGTCAGAGCAAGCTGGGTGTGCAGGGTTTTGGCGGAGTGAGGGGGATTGGAGCACAGCGGTCTGGGCATGAGGGGGAAACACTTACCTGGCTTTGCATCCCCTTGCAGCGTGGCCCCAGAGGTGCAACAATTGTTACGGCCATGCAGCCCTGGGCCAGCCCTGGAGGCACCACTACCGTGGCCACGTAATCCTGGGCCAGCCCGGGAGGCACCACTGAGAAGCCTCAGTCACAGCGCTACCTCCTTCCATTTCAGTCTAACCTACTTATAGGGATGAGGGAGGGCTCCAGCGGCTGCATGGGGGAAGAGGGGCAGGGCTGAGTTTTCGCTGCATGTGCCACTTACGGCACGGCACGCATGCTGTAGGTTGCTGACCCATGGTGTATGCCATAGAAATGTATCCCTTTTTTGTTGATTGTATTCTGTAGCAAGATCATTTAGTGCCCATTGTGCATGCTTTATTGCTCCACTGCAGTGTGAGAACACTATTGCTGAACATCTATCCACTCTGTCCTGCACATTGCAAAGAGTTGCAGTCCTGTATAGCAGGTGAACTCCAGATTCTTACCGATAAGTCGGTACACAATCAGTCAGTACAAGTTTCCAAAGTACTATTGCTACTTGCTTCTCCA